GAAAGAAATGCATTTGTTGAATTACGTTTCCAAGTTTCGGTCTAGACTCTTACGTGTTTGTGAATTGTCTCGAGAAAATTTGAAATCATCCCAAGTTAAAATGAAAAATGTTTATGACTGCAAGGCTGAAGAGCACAAGTTCCATCCTGATGACATGGTCTTAGTATTGTTACCCACTATGGGACATCCACTCAAAGCTAGGTCATATGAGGTTGTTCGAAAAGTTAACGATAGGGACATGTTTTAAAAACATCTGATCGTCGAAAGGCTACCCAGCTGTGTCATATTAATATGTTGAAGCCCTACCACATACGAGATGCAACCGAAAAGATTTTAGCCGTTGAGTGTTCTCCTGATACTGATGACACTTGCTTTGAATCAGACACCTGTAAGTTTGAAAATATTGGAGACGAATGCAAGATCAAACTGGGTAATTCTGAAATTCTGAGCAATCTTGATTCAAAACTCGAGCACTTACCTCTTGAATAGAAAAATCAACTTGCTAGTTTATTGACTGAATGCGAATGTATATTTTCGGACGTTCCTAATCAAACCAATATCGCTGTTCATGATGTAGATATAGGTGACGCTTCTCCTGTGAAACAATATCCCTATCGCATGGATCCAATCAAGGCCGATAAAATGCGTAAAAAATATCTTATATTTTGGTAAACGGCATTATAAAGCCAAGTAAAAGTGATTGGTCTTCACTTTTTTGTACTGGTCCCTAAATCTGATGGTTCGGTTAGATTCCATACAGACTTTTGCAAAGTAAATGCTTTAACAAAGATAGATTCCTATCCTATTCCAAGAATAGAGAATTGTATTGATAAAATTATAAAAGCCAGATATATCACAAAGTGTGACCTACTGAAGGCAAAAGAAATCTCTACTTTGGTTACTCCTGATGGGTTATAGCAGTACAATGTAATGCCTTTTTGGATGAAAAATTCTCAAGCAACTTTTCAGCGAATGATAAATCAATGCCTCAACAATCTATCAGATGTTGGAATTTATGTTGATGATATTATGATTTCCAGTGACACATGTGAGAGGCTTAAGAAAGCCAATCTCACTGCAAATTTGGCAAAAAATTACTTATGTAAAGCCAAAGTTGTTTACTTAGATCACGTAGTAGGTCATGGCCAAGTAGGTCAAACCAAAGTTGATTGTAGTGTAAATTATCCAACTCCTACCAATATGAAAAGTGATTGAAATTTTTGGGAATGGCTGGTTATTACAGAAAGTTTTGTAAAAAATTTGCTGACATCACTGTACCATTAACAAACCTTTTGAAAAAAAAAACAAAGTTCAAATGGTCTGAAACATCTCAATCTGCTTTTGAAAAGGTCAAATTTTTTTTTATGCACTTACCCTGAATTGATGGCACCTGAGTTTGATAAGCCTTTCGTATTGAACATCCCGTTTGTTATTTTTCTAAAAAGTTTAATCGTCACAAAAAAAATTACGCTACTGTAGAAAAAGAAACATTGGCTATAGTGTTAGCTTTAGAACATTTCAATGTGTATGTATCTGCATCACAAAAACCTATTGTCATTTACACTGCTCATAACCCGTTAACATTTTTGAACCAAATGAAGAGCAAAAACAGAATACTGTTAAACTGGAGTTTGTCATCACAAGAATATGATTTGAGGATAATCTATGTCAAAGAGATTGATAAAATTTGTGCTGATGCACTCCCACGTGCTGTGTAATTTTATGATCATAAGGTTATTTGTATTGATTGTGTTGTATACTGTCATGATTATTGAAGTTTTGTAATCATTTGAATAATGTATTATATTTAATGTATTGTTGTCAATGTATATGTATGTATATATATGATATCTTAGTTAAATATTGTCTAACACCAGTTTTTTATTCTCTAAGGAAGGAGTTGTGACGGATTTATTATTTTATATTTATTTTAATATCGATGTTTATTTAAAATCAAATTTATATTTAGAAACGTCCATAACGTATACTGTTAAATATGTATTGCGAAACTCCCGCCTCTTCTGTAAAGTTGTAGAAGATTCTCGAGTGTAAGAATCAACAATATATGTATATACGTAAACGGTAATGTAGCTTTGTATTGTTACGTAATCTGAATTTTCGAGAAACTCTCTACACGTCCATAAATATAACCAACGCGACGCGCCAAAAACAGTATCTATTACTGATTGCTTTAATTGGTGTGGTATAAACTTCGTGAACTATAACTGTGATTAACGCTTATTAATCGGGAATTTCAGATATATTGACCAGGAACGTTTACAAATTTCGAACATTACAAGTCATTCATTTTCAGTGAATTCGCATCAGACATTATTACTTTTACGAAGATATTATATATCTTCAGCGGTAAAAGAAACTCGACCTGTAATCGACTTGTGAGCAGCGAGAACTACAGAGCTAGCTAGCTCCCTATTAAGTGAATTGTATCTACATCAACTCGAAATTAATTCATTCATCATGAACCCTCGATAAGACATCAAGGAAGTTCCAAACCAGAAAGAACACTTTATATTGCTTGTAAGTTTGTAAAACTTTAGTATATAAATCATTATTTGTAATAACTATTTGTAATACTGTTATTGTAAATTATATTATTGTTTATATCGTTACGTATCTGCTTGTTTCTTAATTTCCGATAGAAATTCTTTCCGAAGAACTTCTGTGATACAACTTCAGTTTATTTTTTCTCGATACAAACTTTTAGTACACAGAAGTTTCACAATCTGTACGTTTCTCGTCACTTTAAACTTAACAACTTTTATAATACACGCTATAAATCATAGCGATTCACAATCTTGATAACTTCGCTCTCTACGAGTGCAAAACACACACTAGCTCGAAACAGAATCGTAAATTACCCCAAACTTACCGTAACTACTGTTCGCTTTATCATCCCCTGGCTTTTCTCTGCCAGGCTTATATACTAATGAAGACGCATCTCCAAAATTCGCGGACTTCCCCGATAATTCGAGAAACTCAGTCACACATGCGTCAGCAGTTTCACGTGACTTCCACTGTCGTAACAATATTGAAACATATTTGTATTAAGAAAGAAACTGTGTGTGTGTGTGTATCAATCTTGTTGGCAAATATCATAAATTGGATACATATCGGCATTTATTTAACTACTGAATTTAAAGTAGCATTTAGTTCGATATCAAAACATTTGAAATTGTGATACGAAATAGGTATAATGTTTCCTAAGTGTACCAGCTAACACATCTTACCACTTTGTTTGGTATAATCACCTGTTATAAACTCCGAGATATTATAAGTCAAACTTTACATAGAGAGTTAATCGCACTTTGTAAAAATTATAAGCACATGCTAATACAGTGGCGTATCTATGCAGATGCGCCACGACCGATATGTTTAGCAATTTGATAATTGAATCATTACGAAGCTCTGCCCATTTGGAAATGCAATACCGACACAAGCAGACTTACAGCAGGGCTAAAGTAATATATCACAGCCTTTCCCGAGGAAGATTATTTCTATAGTAAAGTTGTTAAGCGATATGGAACCAAAAAGCTAAATAGTTCTAAGAAGAGAGCCTTCAGTGTTTTTCAAGGAAGCGGAATAACTCGTACAGTAGAACGTTTAAGACAACAAAGGCTCATAAATCACACCCTAACCAGTCTGTAGTAACTCTTTCTTCCACAGAGTAGAGCTTACGTTTAGGAAAGAGAATCTTCTGACTCGAAAGTCATTGTGATGAAGTTGGACATATCTCTTGGTTTTGTTTGTTTTTTTAATAACCACAAAACTACAAGTGGGTTTTTCTGTTATCTTTCCACCACAGGTGTCGAAACCAGAATTTTAGTATTATAAGTCGTGAAACTTGCCGCTAAACCACTGGAGGTGGGGAGGAGCATATATCTCTTGGTACAATTAACAAAATAATAAACAATGATTTGAAGTTGGTGAAAATTCACCATAACTCGAACTCAACTCGTTTGCACGAAAGAGCTGGTTCATAAAATTGTAATCATAACTGTGAAGTTTTGTAATGCAGTTCTAGTAGATTTTTGGCCCTTGGCCTTTAAACGGGGTCTTGAAACCCAAATCCACGTAAAGTAGAAATTACGTGGAAATTCGGTCAAGATGTATGATCTAAAGTTGTCTTCGTTGTCCTTCGCAAAAGCTCGGTACAATATAAGTTATGGTGATGGGCAGTAGTTATCACTATTAAACTGATAACCATCTACAGCGATTATTCTGATTACAATACGTTTCTCTATGCCCTACTGTCATACTGACGTTAAAGCATATTCTTTAGTTGTAATATTAACTTTCTAAACTTAATATTCTAGTGAGGGTCATAAAAACTCGAGACATGAAAGTAGCAATGAAAATACAATACGACATATAAATAAACACTGAAAAGAGAAAGGAATGAGCACGACAAGTTTTAGTATTTCCTACCATTATAATGTGACTCCAAAAGCTTTATAAAACTTTGATATATTGCGTAATAAAATAGAGTTATATTTTTTGCACACTGTATGGTAATAGCCGAAAGGTCTGATGCATAGTTAAACTCATTCGAAGAATAAGATGGTAGCTGCTTACGAAAGAGATGTATTTGTATACATAACACATGACAATCTTGATAATTCGCTGAGCTAATACGCACATCCGACTTACAGGTAAATGATATATTGTGTTACTGATATTTATTAATTAGCAAATGACATTAAAAAATATTTATAAGTTTTGTTAATTCAATGCTGAATTGTGTGTTTATTTAATAGATTGACAAATGTTATCTTTATCTTTGGAGTTAATACATTTCTTAAGACTTAGTCGAATTCTAAATAGGCTAAAAAATGTGAATATACAAACCCACATCTTTAAATAGTTATAACGAAAACTGTAAAGAAACGTGAGGAAATAAGTTACTTTAAAACGATGGTATAGAACAAATATGTAATTATTCAGATACATTTACATCAAGAAAGACTACCAATCCAACATACCATTTGCAACATGGTTAGATACTTCTTCCACCACAAATACGGCTTCATGTGAGGTCCGATTGCAGCTAAGCAGTAGTAGGCATACATGATCATGTGAACAAAGCAATTGATGAACGGAAAGAAAGCGTTATGGCCACCTGCCACAGATAAAAAAGATCAAATTTTGGTCATCTAAGTGAAATAATTTATTTTCCAGTTGTATCTTTATTGCTGTTATTCTTTTTTTAGCCTAACTTTGTCCACTAAAGTCCTCATAAAAACAGGAGTGTTTAAAAACAAACAAACATACTTCCAGAAAAGTTTGTTTGTTTGGAATTAAGCATAAAGCTATACAATGGGCTATCTGTGCTCTTCTCACAACGCTGTGCCACTGGGGGCATACAGAAAAGAAATACTGTTGTTTTATTTAACAGCAACGTTTTAATAAACTGCTTTTCGTCATTTTTGAAATTCGTCTATAATAATAAAAAAGATGTGTGTGTGTGTGACCGCCATAGCTCCAAGAGGAAAGCATCTAGAGACCTGAAATTTTGCACCCATACTAAGTAGACCCTGAGGATGTGCACCTGAGAATTATTTCTTATCCATATGCGTGTGTGCGCATCTTTTTGTGAAGCAAGCTAGCGAAAAACCACATAGAAAAGAAGTGTGACTGCCATAGCGCCAAGAGGAAAGAAGATAGAAACCTGAAATTTTGTACCCATACTAAGTGGACCCTGAGGGTGTACGCCTGGGTATTATTACTTATCTACTTGCGTGCATAATGAGGCATGCCTAGAGAAAAAACACATTGAAGTGAAGTGATACCATACATCGCCAAATAGAAATCAATGATACCAAATAGAAATCACAGACAGTCAGACAGACACGCACGTGCGTGCACGCATACGCGTGCGCATCTTTTTATGAGGCAAACTAGCTAAAAACCACATAGAAAAGAAGTGTGACTATTGTTACCAAGGTAGTAATACATGAAAGAAATTTAAATTCTCTGAGGTACTATCAAATCAAGAATAATCAACAGCATCGGTAGGAACTTTTCGGTATACCAACAATATCTTCTTAGTTGCCAAGTCAGGGAATATTATTTCTCTCAACAATAGTAGATTCGACTTTTTGTGTAACAGTGACAGTTTTTCTTTTTCCAAAACAGTAATTATACTGTTCCTTTTAACAATATCTCTACTAATTTTTTGGTGTATTAGTGACACCTTCTTAGCTATCTAATAATGACTATAGTTTTTCTTAATAACATTCAGTATGAATTTTTAATTTATCAATGGCATTTTAATTTTGGTTACGTTTGTTTGTTATTAAACACAAAGCTACGTAAAGGGCTATCTGTGCTCTGCCCACCACGGGTATCGAAACCCGGTTTCTATCAGTATAAATCCGCAGACATACCACTGTGACACTGGGGGGCAGTTTTGGTTTTACAGACTGACACGCACGTGCATGCGTGCATGCGCCTCTGCAAAAATCCACATAGAAAAGAAGTGGTTCCATATATATTACAACTTCTAATATATATAGAAAAAACCAGTGTGTTTTGGTAACAATGGGTTCTAACAATGGCTTTTATATCATGCCGCTTAGCAATAAAAGTATAACCTAGTATTGTTGTGCTGAAAGTATAAAATGAAATGTATAAAGTACGAAATTGGAAAAATGTTTGTTGTTTTTTAACTTAGAGGCTCCGTTAATTAGAGTTTTTTGTTATTTGTTTTTATTATTTAAGTTTAAAATCTGAGGACAAATTAGAGGGAAGGTTACCTTTATAAACAGGGAACATCCCGAAAAGTGGCAACAAAAGTATATAGATTATACTTTTATGCTAAAATAGATTCAGAATACACACACTGACATAGTCATCTAGAATAAATCAACCTAATAACCCGAGAGAAGCTGGGTACTTTCGCTAGTCATTAAATAAAATAACAGTTTTCCTTTCTTAGACGTGCGTAAAAAGAGACAAAAACAACTATTTTTATGTAGTAAGACAGATTTCCACATCCCGCGGACTAATATTTTGCAGGTACAATTTTCATTCAATAACGTTTTGGTTAACTTGTGTTAGCCATCGAAAATGCTGCCTAATGATACTTTTAAAAATTAATTTTCTCTATCGTTTACGTAATTGTAAAACAAAATTAGATGAGAGTATTCTGTTGATTGTTGGACCTCATTTGAACCATGTAAATATATACAAAATGATGAGATAAAGCTCCAGTTTGCTACAAATTGTAATTTTGTATTACTTTTATATCCATTTAAATGAAAACAGCTTAATAAGAAACTAACACTAGATGGATATAAACATCGTGTTATATACCAATATGAAAAAATATATAAATATCTAACCAATTTCATGGGATTCTACCATGAGATCTAATGCACTTTATATAGTTAATCATATGTATACCAATTGTCAAAATAGAACGATAGAATTGAGCAGAAAATACATTGTAGATCCAATTCCTGGTAAACATTTTCGCGGCAGAAACTTACAACACATTACCTGTATCTATAAAAAACTATCAGATACGAAATGACCTGATATGTTTACTGACGTGTACAGACTCCAGCTTACCAGCACCAAACTTCATGCCAATCCAGATAGCCCAGGCAACAGAAGAATGATGTACCACGTGCAGGGCGGAAACGTGGCTGAATTTCTTCCTTAAGATGAAGAAAATCTAAACGCAGAATTAAAAAATGTAGTTATGATGTATATAGTTAAATACGCACACTGAACGTATTCACGTATTTTGGAAATATCATAGTAAAAATAAATTAAGATAATACATTGTGTATTCTAGATTCATTTTATAATAATATCTTTGAAAATTCAAACGAGAAGAATAAAATTAGTTTTAGATTATTGTAACCAAGTCAAAACACCGCAAAGCATGGGAAATAGTTTTTCATCACTGGAATATGGAGCTAAAATTGGCTAATTTAATAAACTTCTAAGTTAGAAAAACGCACTTACTGTGTCTGTAAATTCAAAAATCTTCAATAAGAGGTAATACCAGCCGAGGTTAACGAACTGGAGAGACACATATAAAAGAATTAATACAATATGATATTGAAAATATATCTTAAGATAGTTAGACATTCTGGATGCACGAACTGGAAAGGCACATATAAGACAGTTAATAAAATATCATACTGCCACAACAATGTTTCGAACTGTCATTCAATGAAAGAAAAGCAAGAGGTGTACGATAGTATCAGACAGCTTTTCATGAACTGTTAAAGTTACATTTAAAAACTGTTGATAAAAAAAGGCGGTAATAATCAAGCGGTATGTTTCATGTAAACACTTCTAATAAGGGACTACACTAGTCAAGTTCTACCAACTGTATTGATGAAAAAATACAGTTAACTATAGATAATGTTCTTAAGTTAGTGTCTAGTGAACCCATCTTTTGGGTTCCTTTTGCCTAGAAAAACAAACTTATTTAATCTAAACTGCCCTCTACCCGGTGCTTTAGCAGTAAATCTAAGGGCTCATAAAGCTCGACTCACAATCTGTGGGTCGCGGGTTCGAATCCCCGCCCCACCAAACATGCTCGCCCTTTCAGCCGTGGAGGCGTTATAATGTGACGGTCAATCCAATTATTCGTTGGTAAAAGAGTAGTCCAAGAGTTGGCAGTGGGTGGTTATGACTAGTTG